CTGAGGTAATTTAAAACCTGGAACAGGTGATTATTGACTTGTCATTAGTTCCAATTAAATTTTCTGTGGTTGCCCTGCATGCGTGACAGAAAATTTCTATCTATGAAAGAGTCTCCAGCTATATCCTTTTGTGACTGCTTGGCTTGGCATGCTACTTTGAGATTAGCTCCTGAACTGCCAGTGTTACTTGTATCTTGGGCTCAGAAGAGGCAATTTTTTCTTTTCTTTTTGATCCCTCTTAGTAAGATGCTGGATGATTCACTACATGCCCCACCATGTCAATGCAGCTTTCCAGAGTTTGTGGACTAGGCTCCATTGTTTGAGCTGATGAAGGCAGAACATATCTATGAGCTCACGAGAAGGTGCCTGTTGAAAATTGTTGGTACCAAGAAGTGTAAATTTGGTCTGAGAAGAAGTAGAGGAGATGTCCAAATAAGGGCAATTCCCTACCCTTCTCCCAAACAACAACTCTGATGAAGGATTTCTGCACATCTGCTTGGTAAAAGCTTCAAAATGCAGGCAGGAGAGCATGGTAACTAAAGTGCATTTTGTGCTTGATTAATTGACATGGGGAAGCATTCAAAGCAGCTGCATTTTGCCCTCAAAAGGCTGTTAAGTCTCAACACCTTGTGCAGTAGTTCAGAGGGAAACTTTACTCACTTTAAAAAATGCCCCTTTGAATGGTTCACACAGGTCTAACACTGGCCTAATCACAATTCTAAGAAAGACTATTTAGCTAAAATAGGAATAAGTTGGCCAATTCTGCCACATGTTATCGGCTACACTGGGAAGCTGAAAAGACAGCCTTGAAGAAGGTAATGGAAAACCACTGTCAAGCCAAGGAAACTGAATAGACGTATCTATGTAAGTCATCAGGAAGTGAGCTTGACTCAAACCCAACTTTACTAGCTCATGACAGTTTCAGAAATGGGTGGTGGGAACATCAACATTTCTTAGAGGATCTGGTGATCTGAGACATCTTTTGCTTCTTTGATATGATTAGTTTCAGAAAATGGAAGAAATGCTACAAACAAAAAAAGCACAACAGTAATCCCTATGGACAAAAAAGCATGATGGTCATGATGACATAACAACAATAATAGCAGGAACAGCTAATCATTGGATTTAATGGGGTTCATCTCTAACTATAAACCTGTAGGACTGCAGTATAAAGAAAGCATGTACAGTGGTACCTCAGGTTACGAATTTAATCCGTTCCGTGACTCTGGTCGCAACCCGATTTGTTCGCAACCCGAAGCAA